GCGGCGGGCGGCTGCCGCGCCAGCGGGTCTCTGGCGGGCTGCCAGGATGTGAAGCAGATCTGGTGGGCTGGCTTGTGTCTCTTGGGCTCATCGGTTCCTGGTGCTGCGTGGGGACGGCGGGTCTGGCAGGGCTGGGGGACGGCGGGGATCAGTCACTCCATCCGATCTGGTGGTTCAGCCTGGCAGAGATGCTTTCCCTGCTGCCACCCAGCGGGGCAGGTTCCTCTCCAGCACGGCCTGGCCAGGATGTGAAGCAGATCTGGTGGGCTGGCTTGTGTCTCTTGGGCTCATCGGTTCCTGGTGCTGCGTGGGGACGGCGGGTCTGGCAGGGCTGGGGGACGGCGGGGATCAGTCACTCCATCCGATCTGGTGGTTCAGCCTGGCAGAGATGCTTTCCCTGCTGCCACCCAGCGGGGCAGGTTCCTCTCCAGCACGGCCTGGCCTTGATCCCTGCCATGGGGCACCCTCCCCTGCTGCAGGACCCTGCCGGCAGTGATGGAGCCGCGGACGGGGCTGTTTGCCCGGAGTTGCTGGGTGAGGCTGGTCTCCTGCCGAGGCTTTCTCAAATTGCCTTGGGCAGGCGGACGGCCAGACCCAGCCCATCCTTGGGGGCACCCAATTTTACAAGGGTGATGCAAACCATCCTGGTACCCTGGGGCTGTGATCCCAGTGCCCTTGGCATTGCCCGAGGAGACGGGAGAAAGGTCCCATGGCTAGGCAGTGCCTGGGGTGGTCCGTCATTGCCAGCAGGTCCCCCTGCCCAGACCCAAGCCAGGGGATCCCCGAGACCATGCGATGCCCTTGCTTGCCCACTGATTTGGGGCAGGACCGGTGGCTGAAGCACGGTGGTGGGGAGCAACCTGGGGGGAATCTGGAGACAGACAGGCAGAGAGACGTTGGTCCGGGGGTGGGACAAGAAGCGGTCGGTGCCATATTGGCACGGCTGGAGGTAGCAGGGGAGCTGCACTGGGGAAGGGAGGGTGCAGGGGCAGGATGGAGCTGGGATGTGAGATAAGGTGTGGCGGCTGGGTGGGATGGGTTTTCCTCGTTGCGTAGGGTGGCTCTTCCGCCTGGCGCTTCCATTGCTAAAAATACAGCTGCGCTCCTGGTGCAGGCCCAGGGCATGTACCCGCAGCACCCAACCCCACACTGCCCGCGGTAGCTTGCAGGGTGGCCGTGATGGGGTCTCTATCCCTTCTGCTCCATGCTCAGCATGGACAGGGGTTGGGTCTCAAGGACGCCACTGGCTCCATCCTCCTGGAGCTGGGGATTGGGATGGAGCCGGGACAAGCAGCCCGAACCAGCTCCTCATAGAACGCCTTCTCTCTGTATTTTTCCTTCCCAACAGAGAGGTGCTCCACCTCCAGCATCTCCTTCTGGGACTACACCCACGGCTACAGCGTCCTGCTCTGTCCCCGAGCCGGGTAATGCGGGTGTCCACGCAGGAACCTTGCTGCTCATGCCGCTGGCCAGTCAGGGTGACTCTCACACCCAATGGGTGAAGTCAAAGACCAGCTGGAAAAACAGCAACCACAATGGACCATCCCATGGCAACCCCTTCACAGTGTCCTTCCCCCCACACCAGAGCATGGGAGCCTCCGGGGTTCATCAGGGCTGGGAAGGAAGTGGAGGTGGCATGTCCCCTGACGCCACATCACTGGCTCCATTGTTCATTGTTCCCTCTTGTCTCGGCGAAGCTGGCGTGGGGACGGGAAGCGATAAGGGGGGAGAAGGCACCGCTCCGGTTCCTGCTCTCCAGCAGGTTATTTCCCCGCTCGCCCAACCTCTCCTTAGGTAAACTCAGCGCTTCGCCTCCCCTAGAGTTTGCTTTGCTCTCCCACACTCATCCAGCACGGCACAGAGCCCAGGGAAAACAGAACGGCTCTATTAATAGCCCATGGGGTTGCCAAATCCCTTCTGTATGTTGAAAGAGTGGTGGTGGCTGCAATACCGTGATTCAGCCCTCGGTGGTAACACATGGGCCGGTTCCCCAGCGGGGCTGTGCTGGGGGGGGTCCCAGCTTCGCTCCAGCCCTGGAGGGCGATGCTCGGCTCTCCGGCGGGGTGGGGAGGTGGGGAGAGGCCTTTGCTCCATCGGCCGGGGATTTCTCCGCTTGCTTGCAACACAAATAGTCGTATCGCTAAACTTGGTGTTGTTCCTCTCTGTTGGCAGCTGCCCAAGCTCATGGGCTGGACTCACTCTGCCCATGAACCCACAAAGAGTAAAAACCGGGAAACCCCCCGGTGAGGGCAGAACCATACAGACCAGTGGCTGCGGCTCCTGGCACCCAGGGCTGAAGCAGGCTCTCGGGGATGAAAGCCATGGTGTCCCTGGCCCTGCCTT